ACGAGAAACCGTCGCACAAATCGGCGGGCAATATTACTTCCCTCCGGCCGACCGTTGTTCAGGGTTCGTAGAAGCTGGATTTGTCATTATCGATACGCACTTTCCACCCTACTCGATATTGTTGCCATTTAACGAGCCGATCGTCATTCCGTGGATGGCAGTGGCGCCCCATCGGCCTCGAACTCTGTGCACGGAGTGCCAGCGCTTCGATCGCTACGAAGCGAAGGGCTTCCACTACCGAATACGGAGTGAAGACGAGCATAAGGAAAGAGCCACTCGGCTGAGACCATCCACGTCGGACTCAGAACTGACCAGCGAACGACATCGAGATTTGATACGAAAATGGGACACGTGGAGCGTACCAAAGCCCTTCCGCTCTAAACGACGGGCCGTAGCACGGTGGGAAGCCCGACAATACTTTTTGGATTGAATTTGGATTTTTCTCTCTTCACGCCTTGCCCGCGCGCGCATTGCACGACGTGCGAAAGCAATCGACTTGCTTCATCGGACCAACACGGGGGATTTCAGTTTCGTCTGTGTCCCCACACTCAATTTCCAAAAATCCTTAGCACACCCCATCTTGCTGTTTTTCTAGGCCTCTTTCCGCACGCCTAACACTCCGAACGAAAGACAGCACAAGGCGTGAGGTTGGTATCGGAGCCAACACGTGTCCGTTCTGATGATAGTAAGTCGAACTGGCGAGAGGTAGGAGAGACCCTCAACCAGCTCGTCGGGATCACCCAGTGACCAGGTCTCAGTCTGGTGCGGGTGCACCCGCTATACCAATGGTGGACGGTACTAGGGTGATCGTTAGCATCCCTGCCCCCTTCCCCTTCTTCCCTAACCATACTCATCCCGAGGCTTGGCTGGAAGCTGTCGAAGCTCAAAACTACAGCGCAGCCGATCTTTCCCGCGTTCTGACACTGTTACTCCGCAATACGTCGCATGACTGGTTTAGAAAACATACGTGGGTAGATTGGGATACTTTCAAGCGAGCCTTCTTGGCTCGATTCGATACGGTTAGTGAAGATGTCGCCTGGTATGTGCTAAAAAATCGACCACAAGGACCAGGGGAATTGTTGCCCGATTTCGTTGATCGATTTCAAACCACGTTGGACAAATCCGGGCGAGACGAGAAATCCGCTCAAGATTTGTTCATTGATCACCTACGAAGTCCGAAATTGAAAGGGAAACTGCAGAAAAAGGTCCCGCTAAAAACACACCAGTTATCGGCTATCATCGCTAAAGCATTGGAACTAGACCTGGCGGATACAAAAAAATATATCGGTCAGGGAGACGAGGATATTACAGATACCATACGGGATGTAACGGCTAAAAGGCAATCATGGCTGCAGGCGGTCGAACGGTTTTATCCCCGCCCCGACCATGACCTTTCCGGCGGGATCGTTTTCGATATCCCGCCTGCTTCTTCTTCCTTTCCCCTCGTGAATCAATCGATCGCGACAGTCAAAAGCGGAATCTCACCCGAACCCCCTTCGCCGGCCATAACTAACTTACATCTGGCCCAGATGATCCATACGGCCACCACCAAACAGTCCGAATGGATGAGCAACTTGATCCAAACGCAAGCCGCTCATATGGAACGAATGGAACAGATAATGAGTAGGCTAATTACGCCTAACCCGGCTTCTGCTCGGCCTGCCCCTGCATCATTTCCACTCTTACCTGCCCCGCCTGCTCCAGGGTTCGCACCTCAGTTCCCTCATCTAGCTAATCCAGCAGGAAAGATCGAGTGCTTTAACTGCAAACAGCCCGGGCATTTCGCCCGAGACTATCCGCAGCCGAAACGTAATCAGCCTCCCCCTATTGCGGCCCCCGTCGCCCTTAATCAAGGACGAGTGGCCGCTCTGATGGATACGGATCAAGGAGGAGAACTCGTGGCATATGCTCCAGAGCAGCCTTCCTCTTCGATGGCAACGACATTGACATCGAGAGCTTCTTCCTCTGACGCTGTTGACGTGGTCGATCCTCTCGAGTATCTCCATCTCGCAGGCATGATCGGAGCGATCCGATCGGCCCCAGATGATCTCGAATGGGTCCATCGCGAATCCAATCCTGGACCGCAGTTTCGGACAGGAGACATTGATGTATTAAAAACACTCAAGCAACTAGATATTCGCGTTCCTATCCCAGTAGGACATCTGCTCACCATATCTGAAGCGGCGAACGACAAACTTTTACAACATTGCCAAAAAAATCAAAAGCGCTTCACCTATCAGCGCATACAACTGATGTTGAAGAAGAAGAAGGAAACGAGGAAGTTGCACAGCCCGAACCCGAAGCCGGCGAACCTGAGGCCACACGAATAGCAACAATCTCTTTAGCAGAAAAAGATCACTTCGTACGAGCTCGGCCGGTACTATGGAAAAGCGCGGAGTGTGATTGCGAGGTTTGGGGCAAGCCGTTTAACGCTCTTATCGACACAGGGTCTTCTGCTGTATCCATATCATTAGACACTGTCAGAAAGACGGGACGACTCGGATTCATTCTTCCTCAATCTGGCAAAGACAATTATGTCTCTGTCGACGAGGAGGCAATGAATATCGTAGGCATTATTGAGAATGTGGCTGTAAAAGTCGGACGAGTACACGTCCTTGTCAACGCGCTCGTAATAGATGTACGTTTCTACTCTGTGTTGTTAGGACTACCTTGGGCAATGGCGGTGGGCGCACGACTGCATTTCGATTCAAAACAGCCGGTGCTCACGCAAACTGGGGGAAAGCCTCAAACTGTTCCTTTGCGGATCTCCACCCAAACGATAAAATGGACCCCTAACTCGACCCAAATAGGGATGATCTGATGCATTGATCCCGATGAGTGCTCTCCCTCGCATATCGGGGATGGAATCAGGGAACAAGAGTACGAAGAAGAGATGCCCAGTGAAGAAGAATGAAAGCACCTGGTTGAACTTTTCGAACGCGAAACCCCCGAAGAATTTCAAGTGTACCCCGACACCGCCCGAAGCTTCCACGTGGATTCCAAAGACAGCGCGTTCACACCTCTGACAACCCAGGTCAGTCCTTCGGTTCTCCTTGGGGAACCCATATTACAAGTGTCCGACCTGGCTGATGATTTGGAACCCCCTCGCACCTTGTACGAGGGAGCTCTTTCCTTACGAACGCGTTATCAACAAACGGAACAGTATTTGGATGTTTTTGTTTTTCTGCCGAGATCGTTACTAACGACAGGAGCCACCATCGCCTTAATTAAACAAGAGGCGGAAGCACCGGTAAGTAATGTACCTAATCTGATGCAAGAAATGACGGATCTAACGGGGTTAACTATGGAACCGACCTCGGTTGGTTCAGAGACCGACGCGGAAACTAAAGAAATGGAGATGATCAGCCCCGCTGAGTCCCAGATGATAACAACTGTCTTCTCTGTTCGCACCAGTAGTTCCGTTTTCTCTAGTGTCGGTGATCGGCGGGAACGGCCGGTTGACTGGGTCGATATGCCCCTTAAGATTTCCGGGGAATCAACAATCCCCCTCCAGAGTCACGTTCCTGCGGAACTTCGGAAGTCGTTAATCTGTGTATTAAATGGTTACGCAGAAGTGCTGAGCGTGCATGATAATGATATCGGCTTAACTAATGTGATTGAGCATGTTATCCTCACGGGAGATCATCCGCCCATTAGCTGCGCTCCTTACCGATACTCGCCAGCTCAAAGGGCGGCCGCTTTTCAGTGGATTAAGGAGTTCGAAGCTAATGGATGGATCGAACCCGCTATAGGTCCATGGTCTTTCCCTGTAGTGATCGTGCCTAAATAGGCTGGAGGGATTCGCATTTGCATTGATTATCGAAAGTTGAATGATATCACAATCAAAGATGTGTAACCCCTCCCCCGGATTGATGAGTTGTTGGATGCGATTGGGAGTGCTCAATTTTTCAGCAAGTTTGATGTTCGCCATGGGTTCCATCATCTTCTTGTTCGAGAGGAGGATCGTCCGAAAACAGCGTTTGTGCTTTTCGAAGGCACGTGGCAGTGAATTCGGTGTCCGATGGGTATCTGCAACGCCCCCGTGACCTTTCAGCGGGCCATGAACATGGCTTTTCATAATTTCGTGCGGAAGACTCGTTTGGCGCAGAGTATCATCAACTATGCNCTATGCAACGCCCCCGTGACCTTTCAGCGGGCCATGAACATGGCTTTTCATAATTTCGTGCGGAAGACTCGTTTGGCGCAGAGTATCATCAACTACTGCGTGATTGTGTACATGAATGACATCTTGGTGTATTCGAGTTCCTACGAGGGACACGTGCAGCACATCGAATGGGCACTGCATGCGTTACGAGATGCGGGCTTCAAGGTGGCGCTTAAGAAGTGTCAGTTTTTCCTCACCACCATTTCCTTCCTAGGGCACGTGGTGACAGACAAGGGACTCCAACCGGAGCCGGAGAAGGTGGCAGCTGTCAGGGACGCGCCGGTGCCTACGACTATCACGCAAGTTCGCGCCTTTCTAGGCCTAGCCTCGTACTACCGAAGATTTATCAAGGGCTTCGCGGCAATTGCGGGACCCCTCACAAATCTGTTTCGCAAGGATCAGCCGTTGATCTGGACGCCGGAGTGCGATCAAGCGTTTTCCAAACTCAAGGCCGCTCTCATTTCGGCTCCGGTCCTTATAAGACCGGATCCCGAAAAGCCTTTTGTTCTCATCACTGACTGGCAGCCAGAGGCGATTTCGGCGATCCTTGCCCATGTGGGACCAAGCGAACTCGAGAGTGTGGTGGAGTATGCGTCCAAATCAGTGCCCGCCTGCAAGCGCAACTACGCCGCTCCAACGGGAGAATGCTATGCGGCTCTCTGGGGAATCAGTCACTTTCGTGCTTACCTGTACGGGCGAAAGTTCACCCTGGTAACTGATCACGAGCCCCTGTTGGCTCTGAAGAAGTCGAAGGTTTACTCGGGCATGATCGGGCGATGGGCAACGGTGCTGCAGAGCATGGACTTTGACATTCGTCATCGGAAGAACGAGAGACACGGGAATGCGGACGGACTGACACGACTGCACCGGTCTGAGAAAGTTCCGAAGAATGAGGAGGTAATTCCGTGGAACGAGCCCGACCAGGAGATTGGACCTCGGTACGGCCAAGTGGAGATCTTGTCGAAGCAGTAAGTAACACGAGAACTAATTTGTCTCCACAAATCAGTCTCATCTCTCCTCCTCTGTCATCATGACTACCCTGCCTGCCTTCGCAACCCCTTCTTCTCCTACTAATTTTGCCCCTCTCAGTTACTCTGCTTTCTTTGCCACCCTCCCCGATAAATTCTGTTATTTTTGCACGTGTATTGCACGGGTTTATGGGGTCGATTGTCATCCTTTCGAGACCGAGTTTGTCGATTGGGTAGAATGTGCCACGTGTGTCAATCGTGCGCACGGGGCCTGCGTTCGATATTGGACGAGTAGCAAGGAATGGAGGTGCCCCCTGTGTAGAACGAACAAGCTCCCCACGGAGGTTCGATTCGAGGCCGCCCGTACGGACGACCCTGAATATGACGAAAAATACCGACGAGCGGAGGTTTGGACGGATAAAATTTTATTGGCGAAATTAGCGGGATTATCATTGGGCCACCTCACCAAACACGACAGACGTAGGGCGACCGAGAGATCTCGGGACCATCCATGGATCAACGGTCATTTGGAAAAGCGTAAAACCGACGGATCAGGTTCGTGGTTGGCGGTTCCCCATCCATTCCAGAGATACGATTGGATCCGATCTGCTCACGAAGAACAGGCCGCTCATTTCGCGATACGTGTCATGGAGGCAATTGTAGACCAGAACTGATGGTTCTGGTCCAATATACGAGATGACGTCAAATACATTGTCGCTAACTGTCTGGTCTGTGCCGCTGATCGCGCCCCTATACGGGAACCAAACACGATAGTAACAACGGAAGTAGAGCGTCATTTCCAGCGAGTCAGTATGGACACGACAGATATCGACGTGCCACCTCGCCCAAACCGCTGTGAATATTCTATCCTGTTAGTATTAATTGACCATTTTTCCAAATACATCGAAGTCTATCCCTGTAAGACCCGAAAAGCCGCAAAAATAGCCACGTACATCGAACAGTTCCTGTATACCCATCTAGATACGGAAGAAATTCTAACCGACAATGGGTCTGAATTCAAAGGTGAGGTAGAAGAACTGCTTGCGCGAAGGGGCGTCACGCTCCGACATACGGCACCCCACGTGTCCCAGTCGAACGGGTTGGCCGAAAATGCCAACCGTATGATTAAAACCGCCCTTCGTAGGAACTTAGCGGCACACGAGACGTGTCCGTGGCCCGAGATCGTGTATCAGATCGTCGGGATCCACTGGGCCACTCCCCATGAGTCCACGGGGTTTACCCCCTTTCAGCTTCAAACTAATAGCCTCCCCTGTGTCGACTACCGGGGTAACTCGGAAATTGCCGAAGCAGGGGGTAGACACACGCGTGCAGCTCTCAAGGCCAAGGCCAAAAGGTATACCGAATTAATGGAACGGGCCGTCCCGAAGCTAGCCCGAAAAAGGCAAAAGATGACCGAATTGGCCCACGGTAGACAGGTCCGTAGCTACGAGGCTCGGAATGGAAATGCTGGGCCCCAACATCAATATAAATTAGGGGACCTAGTGCAGGTACGTAAATGTGCACGCGACCGGAAACTCGCTCCAAGTTTTATGGCCGTTTTCGCATTGTCGAGCTCGGACCTAACAACACCAACACGATGCGCATTGCGCCTGAGGCTAGTGCCAGCCATAGCTCTGTCCCCATCGTCCGACATACCTCCTACCTCCGTCTTCTTCCTCCTTCTGATCTTCCTCCCTCTTCTTCCTCGGAAAGCGAGGAGAACGACGACGATCCAACTCTCTCTCCTCTTTCTCCCTCTTGCCCTTCGTCCTCCTCTCCCACCTCGCCATGAGTTTCATCATGGAGCGGGCTCTTGACGCACAACTGTTGCAGCCACGTGGGCACATCTCAGAGATTCGGCAAGTCTGTCACCCTCGGCTCAATACAAATCTTCAGCGTTTGGCACAATTTTTCTGCGACACGGGCATCTGTGCCGCCGCCGCGTTTCGAATCGAAGGGAGTCCTCACGCAATAGTATTTGCGGAGGTAATCGCAGTTCATCGGCGAGCGGCTCCCAGGACAAGCCACGTCACCACGGTTGCAGCGTTCAGCGGCGACATCAGCTCGGTCAATCCGCAAAGGCATACCGCGATCTTGGCTTCGCTGCACGAGTGGACGGAGCAAGTGTCCAACGTGTGGCAGCACGTTCTCGCCCGACCTGGGCATAACCTCATCCCAACCTTTGCACCAGATATTGGCGGCATCCGCCAATCTCCGCGCGAGCGGCCAGTGGCGATCCCCACCCTCGTCCCCTTCCCACGTCTCCAATGAACCACGCCGAGCCTCTCGCTCCTCTCTCTATCTTCGGTCTCCCCTCTCTTTTTCCCACCTTCCGGCAATCCGATCTTCATCCCTCTCTTTCCTTCACGTTCGAACCTCTTTCTGTCCCACTTATCAATCCTGGGCATTGGTGGCTGTGGCGCGAAATTTTTGACGAGTTGTCCTTCTACCTGGCCCGAGTACAGGTGACGTGGACGGGCACTAGCGAGCATCCCGCGTGGATCGAGAACCCGGAGCTGCTGATCATACAGGCCTGGAGGACTAACGTGGAGGGAGATCTTCTTGGCTTTCTCTTTGGATCGGTATGGCCGGGTCGCCGCCAACTGATTGTGCAGGAACTCATCGCGCCGATCGTGCAATTGGTGGACGACCTCTCGCCTGACATCTATTCGCAAAGTGACGACAGTCCTGCTCCATACATTCTCGAGCGAGCACTGGATCCATACCTTCAGTGGACTGCGTGCTTGGAGGAACCTAGGGACGAGGATACGCTACCATCGCGGCAGGAGTACCTGAAGCCGTACGATATCATCCCTCACGCCTTTTATCCGAGGGCGGAGGAAGTGGTGATCGACGACGACGACGAAGAGGACGAAGACGAGGAAACATCGAAGGAGGGACACTATAGCGAATATAGTGAGGGCGAGTTGAGTGAAGAAGAGGAGGAGGGAGAAGAAACCGGATCTGAGCCGGAAGCTTTGCCGGAGAAAGCGACGCGCACGGGAACGGAGGCAGAAGATCCGGAAGCGGCCCGAAAGCGCGAAGAAATTGCCACCGGGAAGCGCCAGCTGGAGTTCGCCAGCGGAGCCAGCCAACGCATCGGTAGCGATCCGACCAGAGATCCGGAGCCGCCAAAGCCCGAAGATGGCGACCCTGCAACCGTCACCTCAAGTACCGCACGACGGAGACGGAGCTGATCCTCCTCCTCCTCCAGCCCCACCCGTCCCCCAGTTCGCCCACATACCGATGCGGGCGATAGGCCTTCGTCCTCGCGCGCTATCCCGCCCACACCTTGACTTCCTCACCCTCGAGCAGATCCGCGCTCCCGTCACCTTCCCTCCCCATCCCTTCCTTCCCCATCTCTTCCGCGACTTCTTCTCTACCCGCCTACTCGCCACCGTCCGCCCCCACGCATCCCTTCGGCCTGCTGCCCCCACGTTCTGCTGGCATATTCTCTTGTTCAGCGCTGCATGGGAGCGATGCAACGTGGTAGAAGTTTACTGCATCGCCACGGGGACAATCCCCGCCTGCCGCCCCTACGAGATTTTTCGAGCAGCGCTTCTCCGCACCCTCTCCTCCTTCTATCGCGACTACCTCGCTTCTCTCCCCCGCAGCGGTGATCACTTCCCTCGCTTCCATCGGATCATCCGATATGAGGAGCTTCCGGTGACGATGGAAGGGATGAATCGCTTCCTACCCCCACTTCCTCCCCGTCGACCCCGTGAAATCCCCCCCATGTACCGCCTCTATTGGCCCATTCCAACTAGAAGGTAGATCCCCGATCGCACGACTATCCCCCCCCCCCCCTCTCCTTTCTTCATCAGCAGGGGAAGACGACACGAATCAGTAAGCTTCGCGAAGATCGCGCCATCAACGATGACGTCAACTTACGCTCTGATTCGACGGGCAGTAACCAGCTGGGGTGCAGAGCACACGGAGAACCAGCGGACGATGATGGCGTCACCTGGATGACCATCGAGGATTCCGGCAGCAGATAGAGGATTGCAATTGAAGTTGGCGTCAACATGGACTCTGGCTGGATTGTTTGTTGATACGCTTGGTTCCTCATGCATCACTCTGTTCTCTCCGTTTTCTCTCTCTTTTTCCGCCATGACATGCAATCAGGAGATCGCATAATTTTGGAACCCCCTGCGCGTCACATATGTGACGAGCTACTTCCCGAACCCATGCTATCTTTCGTACCCCTGTTTTTGTATCATACCAACTCCATTAAAAACCCCTTTCGTTTTCTTGTTTTTGGATGTCGCATTTCCTTTTTTTTCTGGAAGCTTTTTCGATTTCCAGGTTCTGTTTTTCCTTTTTGCAAGTCGGGAAATACATGGGAATTTACGTGCGCCTTAGCGAGCGCACGGGGAATTGGGCTCAACAGTTGGGAATTCCAGGATAAGCGGAACTTCGACGTGTCCTTTTCGTATGTGTGAATGTTCTTGGTTGCGTCGGGGAAAACTCTCAGAATTTTGTGTGAATACGAATAGGCGTAGGATTTTCTTTTCCCGCGTCGCTTTTTCTCGCGCGGATATGGTGATTTCAATTTTGAAATAGGATAGAAGCAAACTGTAACTGTTTCGGCGTCTTTTTCTCTCTTTTTGTTGACGGTGCCGCGTATGCAAGCTTTCTCCTCTTTGTCCCCCGCATCGCTCCCTCCCACGCCTCCTTTCCCTTCTCCCTCCTTTTTCTGTCTCCCCGTAACTGTTTTCCTTCTCTCTCTCTCTCCCGCCTTGCTTTTTGCGCGCCCATTTCCCATTCTTGATCATCTGAATCTTGGACCCGTCTTTCGCTACTTCTTGCACCTTTTCTCTTCTCACCCTCTGAGTCTGGCGCACGACGCCCGGTCGATCCATCGATAACTCCCGCTCGCCAATCAGGTGCGTGGATCAATAGGAT